TCAACATGGGTAAATAAGGAGCTCTCATACATGTTTAGATTTTAAAAGGACAATTACTTAAGATAGAGGGAAGACTATCCTTAAATGAGAATTAAGATAAGAGTAACCTCCTCAGTTTCATAACTCCCATGCCATACTAGCTATGGGAGCAATTAAGGAATAAGGGCAATCACACCTTTGCCTCTGAGCCTTCATCTAGTTTTAAAAGTGTGCTTCCAAAGCTTCTCTCTGTTCTAAGAGGTTCGTGTCCTCTTAAACACTTACTGCTGTCTTGTTCTGCTGCTTCCACTTTCATGTTTTACTTTTACCAATCTGGGAGGAGAATTCACATTAAGTGATTATGTTTCAGTCAGCCAACCATAGATGGCCTGGCCTTTAAGTAACCATAGTTCTTTTTGATTTTATAAACCACTATATGTTTTTTATTTTTTAAAAATTGTTATTTATTTATTTATTTATTGAGAGAAAGCTATGGTGTGGGGGAGGGGCAGAGAGAGGGAGAGAGAAATCCAAGCAGGCTCCACACTGTCAGCACAGAGCCTGAACCTTGAGATCATGACCTGAGTTGAAAAACCAAGAGTCAGACACTTAACCGACTGAGCCACCCAGGCACCCCTGATTTTATAAGCCACATTACTTTTAAAAATTTAGATTTCATCCTAAGGCCACAAAGAATTCATTGAAGAATTTTAAGTCAGGAAAGTAACACTGTCTTGTTTGTTTTCCATTTTATTATGACTTTAATGTGGTGAATGGATTAGAAGTTAGAAATAGTAAGATTAGTAGACACAGACACCAGTCAGAACATCATTATAATAGTCCAGCTGAGAGATGCCACGTGGAGGCCCAGAACTAAATAGCCTCGGTGGGTTTGGAGAGAAATGAATGGATTCAAAGATATTCAGGAGATAGAAGAAAGACTGAATGATGGCATGATGGCATAAATATAGCTACCACTTAGCCTCTTAACACTTAGCCATTTAGTACTCATCTAAGAACGGTTCAAAAATTGTTAAAGGAAAGCCCTGATTAAACAAAAATGTTAAAGCTTATTAATCAAATAATCAAAATACTTATTTTGTTGAGGGGGGATCTTCTAGCATGATTAATAGTAATGGTAATATTTTCTTCTTAAGTTATGTAAATGAGGGGCGCATGGGTGGTTCAGTCGGTTAAGTGTCTGACTTCCGCTCAAGTCATGTTCTCATGGTTCGTGGGCTTGAGCCCTGCATCAGGCTCTGGGCTGACAGCTAGGTCAGAGCCTGGAGACTGATTCAGATTCTATATCTCTCCCTCTCTCTCTGACCCTCCCCTGCTCATGCTCTCTCTCTCTCTCTCTCTCAGAAATAAATAAAACACAAAAAAGTTATGTAAATGGTTCTATTAATTCTATAAAGTCTTATTCCTATATTTCTACTGTATGAGATATAGAATGAGGATACACACACAAAACAAAAATTAATCGAGTGCCTGGATAACATATTGTCCTTTAAAAAACAAAACAAAAACACACAGAAACAGGAACTGACAGATTTCAAAGACAACAGAAATGTTTTCTATAATTTATTTGGAGCTATGAAAGTTACTGAAGTATAATACTTGCCTCAAACACTTTCACAACAGCTGAAATTAATTTTTATGCTTAAGCAAGATACTGAATGGCAGTGAAACATATAAGGTTCACTGATCTTGAATATTCTATTCAAAATATCTCAAAAGAAAAAAGACTGTGTAGCCAACTATTTGAACTAAGTGAAGCATAAAGGAGAATAAGCAAAAATAAAACGATGTTTATATATTGTATAAATGTGGAATTTTATTTTCATCCACAGTATATTCAACTTAAATTTAGGGATTATTAATTAATCTTGCCTATATTATAAACAGTTTTTTGAATTCTGATGATCTCAGGAAGCTAACTAGAGAGACTTATTGTGAAATTAGAAATGTTTCCAGTTACATATATCTTCATGCTCTTATATAGGACATGCACCTTGAATGTCTTTAATAATCTCAGTTGAGTAATATATAATTCGACTGATATCAGTAATTGATATAGCAGCATATCATACAGATTATCCAATTTTGCTTTTATTAATTTGAATGTGATTATTTTGAAAAAGGCTTTAATCCATAATATCAAACCCTTTTGTTTAGTTCCATTTCCCCCATCCCTTAGAAGATATCTGTCTGAGGAAGATTTTTTGGTATATGCATTTTGTATATGCTATACATGCCAAATAGATCTACCAAGATGAAATTCTGAGCTCATTTGGAAGTAATTTTTGGTAGCACATGAATCAGAACTCTTATTTTCTTCTCAGCAATACTGGTATTTTATTGCTTCCATCTATAGTCCAATATGCTTTTAAGCAGTAAGAATCCTGAAGCCAAACACACAAAACACTAAGAAAACGGGAATTTCTGGAGATTATAATTTTTGTCTCTCTTTCAGGGTTATTCCCTCCTCTGGGAGAGCGAAATCACTTTAAGCTCACTATGAAACAGGAACATGGGGAGCACAAATGATCGACTGAAGTTGGTGATGTTGATTTAGGAGTGTTCAGCTTATAGGTCAGGTGTAAAACCCTTAAACCTGCTTGTCAAAGTCTGCTTGTCAAACACCTATGGGTTTTTCCAGATTCTGCGCAAATGTTACTTTCTCTGTAAAGGCTTCTTGAGTCAGCTCAGGCAAGGTTAGGCAGTTCCTCCTTTGCATTATTATAGCACCTTGACATATTTCTATGGCAGCACTTATCAAATTACATTGCATTTACTTGTCTGTCTCTGTTCATTCATGGACAGAGAGAGACATTTTTCTTCCTATTATCTCTGGACTAGAGAGTTACCAAAATCAAGCTGATTTGCAATAAATAATAATCAAATGGATGGGCACAGAATGCCTAATAATATTCTCTATTTGCATAGCATAGGTTATGAGGTATTTTCACATTGTGTTGAGAAGGACATGGCACGAATTATCACCTGTATTTTATAAGTGAGGAAACTGATGCCTAGAGAGGTTACATAACCAACCCAAGTTCAAAACAACTAATAAGTTGCACATCTAGTTTTCATGCCAGCAAGTCAATCATGATTTGTGGATAAAAGTGATAGTAAAAGTGCTCTGAAAGGCAGATGGCAATGGCTGACCAGGACAATTGTAAGAGCTGGTTACCTGTTTTGAAAGCTCTGTGAAAATCAATCTTAGCAGTATCTCAAGAAGTTAACATAAACGCACACAAAACTGGACTTCAGCATGTCAACTTATTCACAATGAGAATAATTTGTGACAAATTATTTCCCTGTACTCAAGCTACGTACAGAGTGAAACCAATAGACAGATATATCCTATTTATGTATGTAATTTATATGACTTTCTGAAATTCTATGACTATAGACTTTTAAAGGTGAATAGATTCTTAGAGATCAGGGGTATAATCATTTATAATTCTTAGCAAAATTTCTAAGCATCTGGCTAACATGATTAAACACAGGTTGCCACACAGGAATTGTCCTTAAACAAATAGTGTAAAATGGGAGACGTACATTAAATTCTATTGTGTGACTATCGGGGAGGTGAGAGACACTAATATGATGGTCAGTGCTTTCAGATCCAATCCATGTTAAATCAAAACACTCTAATAGAGATTGACATTATTAATTATATTTATCTCCATCTGCTTATAGACAATTTATTGGATTTATCTTTTCAATGTGTCAACTGAAGTGTATTTTCTAGTCTCCATTCCTTTTTAACATATTTTTTCTTCTTGAAAATAGTCCAAGTAGATATGACATAGGCATTCATAAGTTCACATCATATTTATAACTTTACCTTTCAAAGTATTCAGATGAGTCATTTTCAGAACACATTTTACTACTTACTGACCAACTAAAAAGTTAAATACACGTGTTTTTTAAGGGGTAAAGAACAAAGACCAAATAAGCTAATGTCCGCAGCCAAAAACAAACAAACAAACAAAAAATAAAACAAAACAAAACATCATATTTAGGAAAGTTTTTGATTTAGCTTCTACCCAAAATTGGCATGTGCTCTGGGTTACATGTTCTAACCTAGTAGGTGAAAGCAAATGTTTTCCACAGAAATATCTGTATCTCCCAGACTGTGTAAGTCACACCAAAATCCAACATTTTTCATGGGGCAATACAGTCAATTAAGAGAGAGAGCCTTATTTAGCAAATAGCTGCTTTGGGGATAGAAACATACCTCAAACTTAAATGAATTTGTTTCTTAATTGATCTTCCTGTTGGGGAAAATTGCTAGAATTCTTTCTTTAAAATATATGAAACTTTACTTGTTTGAAATCAACTACTATGCATATCTTTCTATTACTATCATAATTGGACTCTGTGCTCTTCTATTCCTTCACTGGATGCAAAGAAGTATTTCCACAACATTTATACAGTAAAGCTTTTTCTTCCTTCTAGCATCATAACTGGTATGCTGATATCCCATCTCTATTTAATGCTAACATTTACTGTTACCCCAAGAGTTACAGATTGAAACAAGAGATGACATTGTGAAAGAAAATTTAAGTATTCAAGGTCATTTACAAAGTCTAATTTAGAATCAATTTCTTATCTAGACTATTACAAACACTTGTTCACAAATCATAGCATTTTAATGTATTAAACGAAAGATGATTTTAGATATGAATTTTTAAGCTAGGTCAAATTATAATACTATGCTATATAAAAATCAACGTCAAGTACCAATTCATTCATTTTCTTATAAAATTTCAGTACAAAAATCCCCATATATACCTAAAGTTGAAGATAATTCATTTAAGTCCCCATTATATATTTAAGCCATCCAACAATTTTATCCATGTTACAGGTATAAAATATCTGTCGGTTCCTGTTAAAGGACTATAACATGAAATCAGTATGATCAATAGGTACATAAAATGCTAATAGGAGAAATTATTTAAAACACAAAAACAACAGGGCTTACAATGCCAAGATGTACTACTCACCAGAAATAAAGTTCGGAAGTTGCTGATATCGCCAAAGAATTCTTCTATGCTCACTGTCTTAGAGTCAAAAATAAAGTATTCTCCAAGATTCTCATAGAGCTTTAGCATGTTGTTGTGCATGGTGAACAGTTTTTCATACTGGTCTCTGGCACTCTTTGTAAAGCTGTAGCTTTCTGTTAAGGAACACGATACAATGGTATTTAAACAATTTTTTTTAATGTTTATTTATTTTTGAGAGAGAGAGAGTGAGAGAGAGAGCAAGGGAAGGGCAAAGAGAGTGAGACACAGAATACAAAGCAGGGTCCAGGTTCTGAGCTGTCAGCACAAAGTCTGATGCGGGGTTCAAATCATGAACTGTGAGATCATGACCTGAGCCAAAGTAAGAGGCTTAACTGACTAGCTACCCAGTACCCTGATCCAATAGTATCTTAAAGGCAATTACTAGATGTTCAGATTGAATTATACCATCATTTTGTAAATATTTATGCATTAATTTGCTAGGATTACAGTAACAAATACCACAGACTGAGTAGCTTAAACAATAGAAATGCATTTTCTCACAATTCTAGAAGCTAGAATTCTAATTTCAAAGTGTTGGCAAATTTGGTTTCTTCCATGGCCATTCTCCTTGGCTTGTAGATGGCCACCTTCTTGCTCTATCCTCACATGGTGGTCCTTCTGCTTGTGTTTGTGTCCTCTTCTCCTCTTCTTATAAGGACACTAGTTACACTGGAGTAGTGCACAGCTTAAGGACTTCATTTTAATTTAACTGCTTCTCTGAAAGCCTATCTCCAAATACAGTCAGCCACATTCTGAGATTCTGGGGATTAGGGCTTCAACATATGAATTTTTGTGGGGACACAATTCAGTTCATAATAACTTGCTAGAGTCATCATTTTGGTTAGTGACTTTCAAAAATTTGTAAAGTAGGCTGAACTATTTAATGCATAACTATGCAAAACATGTTTGCTAAATGAAAGCACATAAGTATAAATATCATAAAACTGCCTCAGTTATCTTTTTATGAACAAGGTAGGGCAGAAACAAACAGCAACAAAAACTTAGAAAAAATATTCTCTTCTTAAATAAAGATATTCTATATATAGAGAGGTCGCACTGAATTATATATAGTTTATATTATATGTGTGTCTGTGGGTATCCCAGATAAAGAGGGGAAGGAGAGGGAGAGAGAAGGAGAAGGAAAACAGGCAAGGGGGAGGGATGAAGAAAAAGGGAGAAGAGAGAGAGGGGAGACAAGGAGAGAGATTCTGCTATAGCTGTAGAAACTTAATCACCCAAAAGACTTGCTAAAACAGATTACTGTTTCCTGAGCCTGAGCCCAGGAGCCTGAGAATTATAATTATTTCTAATGAATTCCCAGGTTATCCTGAAACTACCAGTCCAGGATACAGTTTGAGTAATATGCTCTAGAAAAGCTACTTATCCAGAAATTAATTACATCATTGTTGTGAACATTTTATCAACAAAGTGATAACAACCACTACCACAATATAAATTAATCAAATACATAAATACATATGACTAAAGGCATCATTATATATAAATTTATAAAGAAATAAATTATAACACTTTCTTACAAAGGTTATAGATATGAAAAATTATCTCTTTAGGTGGCTTAGAAAACAAAAATAAATAAATTAAAATTTCCAACCACTCAGAAGCAAGCGTTGTGAACATTTTGGAGCATTTCCTCGAGTCTTTCTTCTATGGCTAATAACTTTTGAATGTAAATTGGTAAGAATGCTTCAGAGGAAGGTAAGTGGGCTAATAGTGAAGAATAAAGGAAATCAAATTCACTTTAAAAAATTATAGTTACATTTAAGACATCGATAATGATCACAGAAGTAAAATGTCTTTAAGTGGAAAGGTAAAATACTTAGAATTGTCAAAGAAGGATAAGAGCAGTTTGGGGCATGCTATTTATTATAAGGTTCATTATAGTGTATTAATATCTTATGGTAGTATTATTTTATCAGGCCCTGATAAATGTGTTTCAAAATACCTGATTTTATAAGATTTTCTGAATTCTTCAGTATGTTCTATTATAACTTGGAGTTAAATTTATTTTCCATGGGAACACAGCTCTAGTTTGATAATGGAAGTCAATGGAGAAAATCAGACCATTTCTGGAAAATTACTTCGCAGCTGACACTTATTGGATACAATGTGATTTTAAAAGAGACGGGTCACTACCTAAGTTCTTTCTTATGCTACTTAAATATTAGCATTCACATTAGCAACACAGCAACCTCTTCTCTGCTAACAAGTAATGTTAAATCTTTCAACCTTCAAGTCTATTTTAATCTCAATAGACCAGAAAGAATGAATGCATTTCTAATTTACTCTATTTTATTTTTACCAACAAAAGTATCACATATAATGTTATATACACATTTTGATTTTACATCACCATATATTCTTTGACTTTAAGAAAGTGTTAAACAACCTGTTTAAAAGTTGCAGAAATAATAGTCTTCATTTCCTAGCACAGAATAAAAGTTAGTTTTTTTTTGTTTTTTTTTTTTTTTGTAGTCTGTCTTACGTAAACAAAACAGACTCATGCCAGAAACTTGTTAGGCATAAAATTTATCAAAGGTCACTTGTACTCTATTTGCAGTGCAAAGTACTAAACCATGTATTTCACAAGGCTTAACATCTGTACCACACAGAGAAATGCCAAAGATTTAAAAACAGGCAAAAAACTGTATGTTTCCCATTTCTCATAAGTTTTTCCCAAGCTAAAATACATTTATGTAGTGATACATGACTTCATAAATTTGTTCTCCCAGGAAAAAAAAAAAACTGACTTCAGAAATTCTGTGTACCAAAGTGAGAAAATTTGAAAAATTCTGGGAATTGCTTATCTTAAAAATAACAAATGGAAAGCAGTCCAATCTCCAAGGCCTTTACTTATCTTCTTCAAAGTGATTACTTCGTAAAAGGGCTAGATGGCATGTGTCAGCACTGGAAATCCTTCAAAAACTGCAAGGAAGCACTGATGTGGGAAACAAAGGCAAAAGAAAAAAAAAAACAAATTTCCTTACAACTTATAGCCCATTGACAAGTCCTTAAGACAGGCAGAGTGACATATGTCTAGGAACTCAACTCCCTTGGTGTTAATAATTTGCTAAGGTCAAAAGGCAATCTTAGCTTAACATTATCCTGAACTCCAGTATCCTGTAAGTCTCCTTTAATATATAAAAATTCCTCTGGAAACTTCCTTTACCTCTACCCACCAAGATACATGTTAGCAATCATTCTCCAAGCATATGACCCTCTGATATATATCTGAAGAATCTCATGACTGAGGTTTTATTAGATAGTAATAAATGACCTTTTCCTAACAACAGCTAGCTCTCTCAAGGTCCTAGAAACCTTGCTTTCAAAATTCCTTAGAGATGTATGCCATCCCTAACCCCTCCCAACCTGAACGTATATCATTAACTGCTCCTCACAATCCCAATGCAGCTCTTTCTGCCCATGGGTCCTGTCCCTGTGCTTTAATAACACCACTTTTTTGCACCAAAGACATGTCAAGAATTCTTTCTTGACCATTTGCTCCTCAACCCAACATTTCCACATTAGTCACCAAATCCTGAGAACTGCAGGTAAAAAAGAGCTAGACACCATCATTCCTTTTCATCCCTTTATTTCATTGAAGAAATTTTTATTTTATTTTACTTTACAAGCAGCCATTAAATTTGATATAACTGGTTAGTATTATGCTGACCATGTGATGGATATAGTGATCATTAAAGCCTATTCCAGGCCCTTAAGAAGTTTATAATCTAGGGGTGTCTGGGTAGCTCAGTCAGTTAAGCCATCTGATTTAGGCTCATGTCATGATCTCACAGTTCCTGAGTTCGAGCCCCAAGTTGGGCCCAGTGCTGACAGTGTGGAGCCTGGAACCTGCTTCATTCTGGGTCTCCCTCTCTCTTCCCCTTCCCCCTTACTCAGGCACGCACTCTCTCTTTCTCTCTTTCTCTCTCTCAAAAGTAAATGGATACTAAAAAGAAATTTTTAAAGTTTATAATCTAATATTACAAATAATTCTACCATCATTGATATGCATTTGTATGGAATTTTTACATTTATGATATACTTTCCCTTCCATATGTCCTATACTCTTCATAACAATCTTATTAAAAAAAAGGCAGAAATACCACTATTCAAATTTTAGAGTTATAGAAACTAGATAAAAGGCACTCATCCATCTAGGGTTAGCACTCAGTGAAGGGAAGCAGAATATGCCACCTAAAAATATGCCTCTTTGGCATACATTTATTTTTAAATATTTTTCATTTCAAGTTTTTAAAATTAAAATTTGTTAAGTAACATATAGTATAATATTAGTTTCAGGAGTAGAATTTAGTGATTCATCACTTACATACAACACCCAGTGCTTAGCACAACAAACGCCCTCCTTAATGCCAGTCATCCATTTAATCAGTCCTCCCCACAACCCCTCCAGCAACCTTCAGTTTGTTGTCTATACTTAAGAGTCTGTTTTATGGTTTGCCTTCTCTTTTTCCCCTTATGTTCATCTGTATTGTTTCTTAAATTCCACATACTAGTGAAATCATATGGTACTTGTCTGAACTGGGAGAAGATATTTATAAATGATGTATCTGATAAAGAGCTAGTATCCAAAATCTATAAAGAACTTATCAAACTCAACACCCAGAAAAAATTATTCCAGTTAAGAAAGGGCAGATGGCATATATTATTTTGAGTTGATTAGGAAATAGCAGACACCAGATAAGCTCTGAAAAGAATAAAAGTTACCTTTTTGAACGGGAAATTTACATTTATAAATGAAATCTCCATTTTGTAAGGGTGTCCCCCTATTTGTACCAGGAAGAGAAGTGTGACTCTAAATCAGGAGAGAATTAATGGTATAAAGAGTGTCAAGGGTTAAGTTGCAGATTTAAATTGCATAACAAACCTTATCCTTGTTTATGGTGCTTTTCCTGGTAACCACCCTCCCCTTACTTAATGAGCGTCCTCACACCTTTCTTTCCTATGTCTTTAAGCTAAAAATGGTATTTAAACTGGTGGTTTAAGTTTAGTATCCAAAATATACAAAGAACTGATAAAACTCAACATGCAAAAAACAAATAATTCGATTAAAAATGGGCAGAAGA